TCAGTTAAATGAAGTAAATGGACATCCAAGGAATTGCTAAAAATAAGTATGTAATAGAAATATACCACACATGAGTTTCCAAGAAATGGCTTTAGTACCTCATTCATTAGCCGCATGAATGTCGCCGGAGCATTACACAACCGAAATGGGATAACCCACCACTCATAAAGCTCTTGGCGCATTTTAAAGGAAGTCTTCCATTCGTCTCCGAGGCGAACTCGAATTTTTGGTATCCAGTTTTGAGGTCTAATTAAGAAAAGATTTATGCTCTAGCTAATTTGTCCAAAAGTTCATCAATGCGAGGGATAGAGAAATGAAACTTCACTGTAATTTTGTTAATTGCATGACTGTCGATACACATCCTCCACTGACCATCTTTCTTGGGCACCAACAAGGCCAGGACATCACACGGGCTCAGGCTCGGTTGAATGAGTTGTTTTTCCATGAGTTCATCAATGATTCCTTGCAGTAAAGTATGTTCTTTGGATCTCGTCTTATAGTGATGAAGATTTGGGAGTTTCTCTCCAGCATTAAATTCTATTTGATGTTGAATTTCACACAATAGCGGAAGTCCCCCAGGCAGCTCAGCTGGCGCAATGTCTTCAAACTGCTTCAAAAGATTTCAGACAGGGTCAAGTGTCACTGAAGCAAGGGAACCATGTTGGGTATCAGCCACCACTAATGCTATAATTTCATTCTATGTTTGTCTCGTGGCTAACAGGGCACGTCCACCCACCAACTGAAGTGTTGAATTTGGCTCATTGCTACTCGGTTTAGAATCTTGGCTGAACGGTAGTAATCGAATTTTTTTACCTTTCCATTCAAATGAATATGTATTTAGTCTGCAATCATAAACAACCCCAATGTCGAACTTCCATGGCCCTCCCAAAATAACATGACCAACGTCCATATAAAAGATGTCGCACATAACTTCGCACATGTACAGTTTCCTAATGGAAAATGTAATCCAACACATTTCTGTCATCGTTACTTCCATACCTTTCTTGATCCAGCTAATCTATTATGGTTGGGGGTTCTTTTGAGTCTTTAGTTATAATGCCTGAAAGTTTGTTAGGGATGTTAAGCCCTATAGAACTGGCCCAATGCTAAATAAAGAGAGTGGTGAATTGGTAAAGAAGAAAATTTAAGCAAAGTACAAACCAAAATCACCACAAATAAAATAAATGCGGAAGCAAATAATAAGAAAGAACACATCAGATTTATAGTGGTTCGGTCAAATCTTGACCTACGTCTACTCCTTGGAGGCACCCTCCAATTATTACACTAAAACAAGTGTCTCTATTTTAGCCCCCACAGCTAGGCGGAGAAGCCCTTACAAAATCACTATAACCTTCCCCGGTGCGGCGGAGTTGCCGGGTCCTTTGACACCAAAGTGAACTTCTTCTTTGGTGAACTTCCCTCGAGATAAGCCTCGAATTCGACGGTATTAAGATGCAAGCCTGTCGGAGCAACCGTGTGGAATCCCCCTCCACACTCCCTTAAGTCCCCCCCTCACAGGATCTTCTCCCTCTCTCAGACTTCACCCGCTCCTCACTCCCTTTCAAGCTTTCTCTTCAAGTTTCTCCCACAAGAACGAAGCTACAATGACTTCCAAAGACACTTATAAAGTGTCATGTCATAGCTTAAATAGAAGATCTCAAAACGAGCTCATTAATGCAAGTTGTCGACATTATCGTCCAGGATGATAGGCATATCGTCTTATACGATCAGTTCAAATTCAGCTCATCAGCCCGAGAAGATTTGGGATGATCAGAAGAAAATTGGTTACATCGTCCTGGCCGATCTCACGATCGTCCCGGACGATTAGTTTAAAATCGATTTCAATCGTCCTGATCATCGCCCTGAATAGATTCTGGCCGATGTAAATCATCCAGGCAGTCGTCCTGGCCGATCCTATGATCGTCCCGGACGATGTGATCATATGAATCATCCATTAATGCTTTCCAAAGATACCAGATAAATTTAGGCATAATTGAGTTAGATCGTCCTAGACGATATCTATATCGTCCTGGCCGATTTCCTAAAAAAATGAATACCTAATCTGATCATGGCGGTTGATTCTTTCTGAATTGAGCTTATCGTCCTGGCCGATACAAGTATCGTCTAGGCCAATCGGCTCATGACGGCTGCCTTAATGTGGATGCTCTAATTAGGATTTCTTCTTTTGGACTGATCGTCCAGGCCGATATAAATATCATCCCGCACTATGTTACCAAAAATAAAAATCTTTAGGGAACAACAGAAAAATCTTCCAAGCTACAAAACACCAGGAGCCACACCAAATACAATAGACTCAAGAAAGGAAAAAAAATGTACAAACTGACTCAGACCTAGTCTACCCAATCTTGAGCTGATTCCAAATTGCAGTCCGATCGTGTGAACCTGAAATGTCAGTACATAAGGCAGTCGTAGAGAAATAAAAATGTTTGCTATCATCAAAATCATAAACCATTGATCCGCAACAATGCCTGAGTGAGTGAGTGAGAGACGATATTCTCCGTATACCCATTATCAATAAGGAGGTCACACACTTTTCCCTCAATTGTGCATCGGGTGCAAAAAATTGCATTTCTTTATGAATTAATTGGTTGGCGAGGGGCTAGTAATAACCTCTCCAGGATACAAAATAACCACATCACCCTCGTCCGCCTCCAACACTTCAACTACAGCTTCGCTATCATCATCAACTTGATTTTTGTAGCTTTCTGCTTCCCCTTCTACCAACTGAATGCAAGGCCAAGTTGGACACTCATTAGATTTATGGCCCGGCTGGAAGCATCAAAAACATTTGTAAGTGGTGGGTTTTGCGTAAGGATTAGTTCCGGGTTTCGGCTGGGCGGGCTTGGTGTCACCTGCTGGTGTTTTCGCGGGGTCAGTTCTGGAACTTGCGATCTACGGCTTACTCATTGGGGTGGCGACTCATTGTTCGCCGGAGGACTCTATTGCTTGCCAACGACTGGAATAGCTTCGAGAGTGGCGATTCACCTGCATTTCAGCCTTCATGGCGAAATTAACAGCCTGCGAGAGGGACCAAACGGAATTTAATTCTAATTTGTCTTGCAAATTATACTTCAATCCGCCAATATACCGTGCTACCAACAAGTTTTCTGATTCATTGAGGTTGTTCCTCGCACTTAAACAATAAAATTCTTCAGTATAATCAGTGACATTACGATTCCCCTGCGCACAATGTTGGTACTGTATGTACAGCATTTGCTCGTAATATGTAGGAAGATAATGTCCCCTTAGCAGCTATTTCATGCGAAACCAACTGCGGACAGCCCCCTTTCCTTCCCTCCGTCGAGATTGCAGAAGCTGTTGCCACCATGCGCTCGCACCCCCTTTCAATCTACACGCTACATACTTAACTTGTTTTTCAATCAGAATCTCCATATATTCAAAGGACTCGACAGCCCTCCCCCAGTCAAGAAAATCTTCTATATGCAGCCTGCCATCAAAGAAGGGGATGTCGAGTTTGATATGGAACTCACCATTAGGCCTTTGATAGCGATCCCGCATTTTCCTGTTCACATTCGGCAATGCGAAATTGTCATTATCGGAGTCAGAATAGTCAAATCGCTACTGTGGGTCATTGTCTTCTTCTGAACCAGCCGATTAAGCCAAATTCTCTTGTCGTCTCCATCCCATTCCGTGCATAGGTTGCATTGGTTCTGGCACAGTGCGTCTAGCCACTGGATTTTCTGGACCTCGTCCTCTTTTAAGTTGAAGTGCTTGCCGATCTTCTACTGTAAATCTGTTGAAGCTGGCGTTAAGCTCCTCCAACTGTTGAGCCAATTTGGGTTGTTCCCTCCACAGGGCCTCTACGCTCTGGTCTTTGCCAAGCGCATTGCAAGGATTTCCATCTGCCATTGCCTCACAAGGAAGAACTGCTCTGATACCAACTTGATGTGCTATCTGAACCAAGAGTATCCGAAACTTGCAAGAAAACAATGAAACAGAAAAAAGGAGCAACAAGGAATATAATTCATCTGTAAACTAGAGTATATTTCTTCTAGTCCTCTTTCTAATTTTCACTATGTACATATGAGGTCTGCTTGCCTCCCTTTCTAAACTGATACCAGCAAGTAAAAAGTGAAATAAAAATCCATAATACTAATATAGCTAAAAGACAAAAACCGTTAGTAGCTAATGGAAACTAGGAAATAGGCGGAGTCGTAGAACGTGCATCTGTAGTATGAGATGGCTTCATTAGTCCGATTCACAAGGTTGCACTGCATCAAATGAGGTAAATGAGGCTTTCAGTTTGCTGGAGTCGAGCGTGGGAAGAAGGAAAACATATCGCTTTTCCCTCCTTTTTAACGACGCCGAAGGGGAGATTGCAGGACTTGAGCAGATGTCAGAGAGAAGCGGCATTTCAGAGTCGTTGCAGAGGGATGGGGCGCCAATTTCAGCAGGTACGTAATGAGTTTTATGTATGTTTTTTTAAACCTGCTGCTGAGGTCAACATGTTGAAACGAAATTATCCATATCTCGAATTTCTTTGGCCCGTTCCAGCTTAAAAATCATTGAATTCATTTCCAAGCATCATTTCATTAAGGGCTTGATTGTTTAGTTTTAAACATATATGAAATGAAAGAATAACAGGTTCAAAAATAAAAAGCCCATTCCTCAAATTTTCCTGCAAGACATTATATTTCTGTGTCCCGCCATAATTTTGTACCTGTTACATTGAGATGGTATCCATAAGAATGCCCTAGTAAGGTTATCCCACGTGCCAATGGATTATTTCAAGAGCAAGACATTATTTATTTCCGTGCGCTGAGAATAATAAACTTCGAACTGGCTTTTTATAAATATCAGTTTACGTGGTTGGCGCAGGTGAGCAATATATGCTTCTACTTGAAAAATCCTATAGGTTTAAAAAATTTGCTGTACTGCAGAAATTCTCACAATCGACACAAGCCACGAAGTTATTGAATAGACAATATCAGTTAAATATTTTCTCAACGATAACATAAATCATAAAAGTACAAGAAGGCCTTAAGCATAACTTTAATGCGTGAGAAATGATAAAAGTACCGAAAATTGAAGCGGCTGTGGTTGTACAAGCATGTATCCGTTCCCATATATTAGGCACTTGGCTCAGCATGTTTATACAACAAAAACTTCTCAGGCTCCACATGGGGACACATAAGCATAACCTCAACATGAAAATCACTAGAATACTCATTGCTTGGTTTTAAGCAATTAATTATAACCTATGTTTTATACATAAAGATGATATGAAAAAAATAACACCATTAACTTTTCTTCCTTAAAAACGCACAAGAATTGATCAACTCTGCAGTTCAAGGAATCACTCCCAATGATGATACTTTCTTCTGGAGCTTCCCCTTGAGCTGCCTGATTTTGGCATCCACTCTTGCAGTGAAACCAATCTTGGTTTCCTGCCTCGCTTTGGATCGCTCTCTTGTCCACATTTGCTCATCCGTAAGATCCTTCTTGAAGTACTTAATCTCCTGAATCACATGGTGATCTAGTGGATAGAACAATCTTTGGTAGGAGAGGTGAGCAAAGTAAGGAAGGTTGCAAGCTGCTGCCACAAGGAAGGTTGTGATCCAGTATATTGGAGCTGGGCCAAGGGACTCAATTAATATGTGAAAGGCGTTCCCAGAGATGACTGGTGACATGAATCCATAGCCAAACAGGAATAGGTACCACGTGCTCACGCTTCCCCACACAAAGAGATGCTGAATCCAGGTGAAGTGGCTCATAGTGAGGGCAATCTGCAAGTTTACTGCCCAGATAATGCAAGTGAACATGGTGGTTCCCATGGCAGCCATGTCGGCAGTTTGCCCTTCAGACTGGAACGCTTGATCGTAGAAGATGCTGATGTTGATGAAAAATACTACAATGGATGAGTAGAGACCATTTGCCGTCCATGCAATGATCCTTGACCAATCAAAGAACAAATTCTTGGGTCCTTGCTGGTACAAAGCTGGGAACTATAAAGGAACAATTAACAGCTAATTATGTGACATTGCAAGATAAAAACAACTCATAATTGTATTCTACTCAGAAGGCTTATGTGGTAAAGAGTGACTATTCAGATCCATTGCATTTTCCCTCAAAAGATTTATTTGAAAAGATACCGAATAAAAAATAGTTGTTCGTGATTCAAATTAAAATGAATATTCAAATGTTCTAATTTGCATGTTCGAAAGACAACCAGGTTGAAACGAAACGAACCTGAAGGCATACTTGAGAGGACACATCTTGCTCAAAAACTCCTAGTGATATGACCGGTAATGATGTGAGAATGATATTGAATAATATCATGTACCAGTCCTCATAAACTGATTGTCCTGAAAAGCCAGTGTATGCCTCAAAATAAAACAAAGTGAGGCCAAATGCTATATTCTTGTAAAAGAAATAGCATACCTGCATACAGATTAAGAGTTCAGGGAAGTATCGCTTAAATATATTTTCATGCATGTTTGGACAGCTGTGAATAAAAGTTGTAGCAGCATAATTATCTTGTTGCTTACCATCTGTGCAATCCTTTTATAGCACCAATGACCGTGGACAACAAGAAGCCTTTCCAGACAACGGAATTGAGCAATAGAGAAGTCGCTAGCCATCACAGCCTGCACAACGCTGAAGCATTATGAGACTATTCTCCAGCAAGGAAAAAGGTTTTTGAACTAGGACCAGAACAGACAGGAGATTTGTACTAAGCACAATCCGTTATAGAATGGTTTGCAAGCCTAGAAATTAAATTTCATGCAAGTCGGACATTCAAAAGAAGCGTTATGAACAAAGATTCATGTTATCAACTGAGAAACTAACTGTTATTCAAAAAGCAATTTCACGAAACAAACTGGCAAACCTGCATTCCTTCCACTCCACTGATTCCAACGCCAATATCAGCCTCTTGTATCATACCAACATCATTTGCACCATCTCCTATAGCTAAAGTAGTTTTTCCTGTTCCTTCTTTCACAAGACGTGTTACCTAGAATAGAAGAATTGCAACAAATTGGAAAGAAATTATCTTTTAGCCAACTAAAGTCGTGGTGTCAATAATTTAAGAACAAAAATACCAGTGCTTTCTGCTTTGGGGAAACCCGACAGCATATGACAGAAGCACAATCAACAGCTAGACCAAGAAAATGGTGCTTCATATCATCCTCCAAAGCATAACTCAAAGCTTTCCCATCAATGATTAGAGCAAATGCTGCATGAGGATCCTTCTCTAGCTTGACCATTCGAGAAGCATTGGTGATTTGCAGCAAAATATTATCTTTGATATTCTGTTCCAAGCATGAAAGAAAAGCCTGCTATAAATTAACAATGTTGGCAGCATCCAGAAGAGATCATCAACACTTCAAAGAAAAAAAGTTATTACCTTCTTTGCATCTTGGTCCAGAAAATCCGTATTCATTGTTGATATGGAGATCTGTTTCAATCCTAATCGAAGCAAGCTGCATGCAAATCTGCAAATATCAAAAGCTTGTGAGCATTAAAAACTCATGAGGTAAGGGGAAACAAATGTGCTAGGTGTGAAATTTCTCTAATCCAAAGTCAAAAAGGAATACCCTATGTTTACGGCTGTTTCCATTTTGTCTCCTGTTAGAAGCCAGATCTTTAAACCAGCCTGTGCTAGTTTGTCTATACACTGAGGAACCTATAGAAAACAATAAATGACAATTGAGGATGAAAGAATAAAAGAAATTAGTAAAATAATCATAAATACTTACCCCTTTTTGTAGCTTATCCTCAACAGCAGTTGCCCCGATAAGGACTAATTCCCGCTCCATCAAATCAGCAACTTGCTCCAGCTGAGCATCTCTATCAAGTCCAATAGCTGTCTTTGCTCTGAGAAATTCTGCATTCCATGTTGAGTACTCTGATTCATCTAAAACTTTGTATGCCAAAGCTAAGGTACGCAGGCCTGCTTCTCCAAATTCATTTAGATGCTTCATGGTATCCGCTTCATACATTTTTCCATTCTTTGACAGTCTATCAAAAATGATGCTGCATGCATTTCAAGAATAAATAAAATAACTAATCAAGCTCCTAAAATATGAGACAGCAAAAATTATCAATTCATGTTGAGATGCAAAAGTTCATTTTATTTTTCTCTCTTTAATGATTGTAGAAGCAGGAGAGTATAAATGCCGGAAAAAGAAAAAATTAAATAATAAAAATAACAAACCTGTCTGCGCCTTTGCAGAAAAGAATTATCTGCCCAGAATCATCCCGAACAATGACAGACATTCGTTTTCTTTTGCTATTGAATTCCAGTAGATTCAGAATCTTAAATTCCCTGCAGAAACAAAGAATCTCAGCAGAATAATTTGCCGGAAGATAGGATTTAGTAAAATCAGCATTCGTTAAAGTTCTGACCTTTCCAATGGATTTGGATAGCTTTCTCGGATGAAAACACTTGACTGAGTCCTTTTAAAGAACTCAAAGCCAAATTCTCTCGCAGCAACAAGAAAAGCTCCTTCATCAGGTGACTCCGCCTCGTATGTGAAGGTGCCATTTTCCTCATCATGCTCCGGAATTGCTGTGTGACAAACTGCAAGAACCCGGAAGAACATTTGAAGGGTCCCTCGACTAGGCTCCTTCACCCAATTGCCTTGCATTAGACGGTCATCCTCAAAGCTGAATCCTTTAATCTTAGGTTTTGGATCCTTGACAACCTTGCAGGTAATACCATCCTCCAATTGAATTACTGAAGAGTCATCCACATTGTTATCCCAATAATCTGCTGGGAAGCAATTGTGCCCTGGAGAACCAGAGAATTCTGAAGCGATATGCTTTGCAGCAGCAATTTCAACTTCACTCGAACCTACACCATAAGACACTCCTGCAATAGAACACTTCAGGAAGTCCATCTGGTTGCAGGTCAATGTGCCTGTTTTATCTGATAAGATTGTATCAACCTGCCCAAGCTCTTCATTTAAATTTGAGGTTCTGGCTTCAGCTGGCTTTCCAGTATCCTCATCATACATCTGAATATCCTGGTTGATGAACATAGCTTGTAAGACCTTCACAACCTCTATAGAAACATAGAGAGAAACTGGAATGAGATATCCATACATGATGAGAGCAGTCACAAGATGAAATATGCCAGATAATGCAGGCATTAATGGGTTGTACAAAGTAGAAGCATTTTCTGGTTGAAGGTACCACCAATTCCGCATTCCAAACTTAGTGTATACTGCGTAGCCAATTGAGCTGATCAATGAAATCAAAACAAGCAGGGTGAACAGAATGTATATGATGTAATCCATCTTCTTCTCAATGCTGCTCCGCTTTGATGGTGATTCTGTTGAATTTTGCATGACCTTACTATCATGACCCGTGAAAATAACCACTCCATAGATGTAAGATGTGTTCCTAAGCTTTGAATCCCTAAGAAGAATTTGGTTTGGATCCAAGGAACACACCTGCTTCTCATACTCCAAATTTCCCACAAAGGTGTATAAACTAGGATTGGGGTCTTCACACCTAATGGTGGCATAAAAATCCTTGAAAGTTTTATCCTCATCAAAATGTAATGTCACATCCAATGCCCTCTTCACCTTCAAATTTGTCTCCCCATCCAAATTCATAGTCTCCACATAGCATATCCCGTCCTCATAACTCGAGGAGAGCAGAAGCAAATCAGCAGGAAAAAAGTGATCTTTCTCAACCTTCACTACATCACCAACAAAGATTTTATGCCACTTCTTGTAATAAAAGTTCCCATCCCCTTTATGAATACTAACCTTCCTTTTATTCACCTTCATGTCCTGCATAAATCTCCTCCAATCCTCGACGGCCTCCTTAGCCATGCTCAGCCCAACTACAAACGCCAAGGGAGCAATCATGCTCACAGCCGAGAACGGTGCAATGGGGGTGAGGGAGAGGACGGCAGCCAGGAGAAAGTAGAGATTGGCGACACGCCGGAACTGTTCAAATATGGCTTTAGGCAGGAAGGTTATGATGTTGTACTTGGTCGTGGAAATGTAATTGGATGGATAATGGAGAGGTTTCCGACGGTGGAGGCTCGGTTGGTTACATTGCACCTTGCGGGAGAAGCCGGGGCCTTGAAGACCATTGAATGGATTGGCGAAATCGATAAGCTCAGGGTTCGCTCGGGCACAATTGAAAGTATATATCTTGCTCCATCGGAGCTTCTCTCGCCGGAGCTTATCCCTAATTTTCTCAGCCCGAGTCATCCTTTTATCTGCGATGAAATGCCTTCCCTCTTGCACGAAGGTGATGAGAGGAAAGGACGAACGTATGTAATTATAGATAAGAGGAAAAGACCATGAGGATGCCAGGAATCAGCACCCGATTTCTACCCTACAGATGAAAACTTGGGCTTCACGCAGAAGAATCTGTTGAGATGTGTCAAAATGTTCCTGAAAAGAAGGCTTATAAGAAAAAATGGAATTAACGGAGCTCAAAATTTCCAATTCGCGAAATGTTGGCAGAATAAAAATTGATCCGTCTTTTGAGAGTAAAGAATAACACAAAGCATCTTCAAGAATAACACAATGCAGCTCGTGCGAATAAAGAATGTCGATATCTTTCCATTGGAGCTAAAAAATCGCTCAAATGGATGTGAAATTTTTGCAGAAACGTGAAGGAGATTTGGGTTGATGCAGAAATTAGAAGGCTTAGAGAAGAATTCGACCCGGTAATGTATACGAGACGCGCTGCCGACGAGAACGGAGAGGGATGGGGTGATTTCGCGGCTCAACTAACTCCAAAACTTCTGCTCGGCTTCTTTCTGCTGCAATCTTTTTCTAATATACGTGTTTTTATTTTTCTTTCTTGTATTTATTTATTTTATCGCGCTCTGTCCGGTAGTTAATAGGCCATGGCAAATTACAAGTTGAAACGACCGTAACGGACGACATTTTTTTGAGCGCCCTCTAAAGAAAAAAAAATAAATGGAATAACGCTGATTTATTATATTTTACGATAAGTATGAAATTAATATTATACACATTTAAAAATAAATTTAGAAATATTAAAAACCTTGCTAATTATTTTTATTAGAATGTTCTAAATAAAAATAAAAGAAATTTAAAATATTAAGCTGATCTTTTTTTGCTGTTCAATAATTCTCTATTATGCTAAACATGCATGTAGAAAAGCATTATATTTGCACCTCTTTCAGGCATTCCGAAGTTGGCAGTTTTCGCATGACAAAGGGTAGTATATATTCCCACGGGATGGGGTTTACTTTTGGCCAATTTATAAAATGGAGCTTATTTTAAATTTAAATTAGTTTAAGGAGCACGTCAGCCACAAAATTTAAAAGGAGCAAATACGGATTTTAAATATTCGGTTTCACTAGAAATCGGAACTTCATCATCCGGTTCCTGATTTATATTGAAACCGGAACTTCATTATCCAAATTGAAGCTTTAATAAAAAAAATATTTTTTTCCTAAGAAACCGGAAAATAGATATCTGGTTCCTTAATAAATTTTGTTTTCTCTCTGATATCTGTTATCCGAGTTTTTTCTAATATTTATTAATAAAAAGATTTTTATTATTTAGTTTAAAGCTTTAATAAAAAAATATTTTTCTTAAGAAATCGGATAATAGATATCCGGTTTCTTAATAAAATTTTTTGACCGGTTTCTTAATAAAATTTATATTTATATTAATTATTATTTTTAGATTATAAATTATTTAAAAAAATGGTTAATATTTAATAAATTTTAATATAATTAATATGTTTAAAAATTTTAATGAAAAATTATATTAAAAAATTAGATTATAATCTTTTTAATTTTTTTTTTAAATGTTTATGATCTTTTTAAACTTTATATTAAAAATTTTCTTAAATATTTAATAATTTAAATTGTATATGATATTTTAATGAAAATAAAATATATACATGTATTTATTTTAAATAAATAAATATAAATAATAATTTTAATATAATCTAATGATTTAAATATTTAATAAATAAATATAAATATTTATATATTAGTATTGAAACGTGGAATGAAATTAGGGAAAAAATATTAAGAAACTGGTTAATGGAATTACAGTTTCTTTGGAAATATTTTTTTTTTGTTTTTTGTTGAAACCGTGGAATGTAATTACGGTTTCTATTGAAACCGGATAATGAACTTACGGTTTCAATTGAAATCGGATATCGGATATTGAAGTTTCGGTTTCTATTGAAATTGGATAATTAAAATTCGTATTTGCTCCTTTTTAAATTTTTCCTCTGCTGCGCTCCTTAAGCTAATTTACATTTAAAATCGGCACCTTTTTATAAATTGGCCTTTACATTTTAAGCATAAGTTTACTTTGAAACAGTAAGTGAATCAATAAAGTCCATAACAAAATAATTATTTTTATTCACACTTGATATATCATAAAAAAATTATCTTGATCGAGCACGAATCTCGAAACAATATCAAGTTGGAAACTTCAAAAATTAAATCGGAGACCATCTAAACTCCGATTTAAACAAACCTACAATCGAAATGAATGTCTCAGAAAATATAAACCTAATGACACCAAATTCATGGAGTCCAAATCAAAGACCCGAAGCACATTCGGAAGGTTCAAACTATAATTTGGATTACCAAAAGGTTTCCAAACATGACATGCTTATAGTCGAATCGAGGGGCTCGACAAGATGAATCCAACGAGCCTAAAATCGTCTAATTTGGATATCATTAAGCTATTCAAATACCAAATAAATGATCCACGATCGAGGGAATCCACATTGGCCGTCCATTCAAACCATACTCAATTTACCCTTGATTTTCCTTCTATTTACTAGACATGCCACTCTCAGAGAACTATAAATAGACCACTCATTTCTCATGAAGGTGGGGAATGAAGCAACAAGCAAAAGAAGAGAGGAGAGGAATAGAAATCAGAGATTTCTCTTGCCCCCAAGCTCCTCCTCGACCACCTCATGAACACCAACCGATGCCAGACTTCCACCCATCGTCAGACTTCTACCCGTCATGGGACTTTCATCGGACTTCTACCTGATGCCAAACTTTCGTCTGTAGCCAGATTTCTTTGTGACGTCAGACTTTCGCTCGTTGCTGGACTTCTGTCCTTCGCGGGACTTTTATCGGACTTCTACCCAACATTGAACTTTTGCCCGTCACTGGACTTTCGTCGGACTTCTACTAGACACCAAATTTTCTCCTGTTGCCAGATTTCTACCTGACATCAGACTTCTGCCCGTCACCGAATTTCTACCCAATGTTGGACTTCAGCCCGTCACTGGACTTTAGTCAGACTTCTACCCGATGCCATACTTCTGCCCGTCACCAAATTTCTGCTCGATATTAGTCTTTCGCCCGTCATCAAATTTCTACATGAAGCTGGCCTTTCGCACGTCACTGGGTTTCTACCTGATGCTGGACTTTTGCCCATTGTCAGACTTCTACTTATCGCTAGATTTCTACCCGATGTCGGACATCTACCCATCACCGAACTTTCATTAGACTTCTACCTGGCACCACACTTCTGCCCATAACCGAACTTACAACTTCCATCACCATGCCAGCTGACTACGATCCTTCTGATCTCATTCACTAGACAATAGTCTTTCTAACTATCGTCACCAGCCGAATAGGGTCCTTCTGACATTCGTCTCTAGTCAACGGTCCTTTCTATCCATTACCACCCACCAACTATAGTCCTTTCGACCTCTATTGCCAGATTGCGGTCCTTTCAACCTCCGTCAATTGACAACGGTCTTTTTTGAACACTGTCGCCCACTAACTACGGTCCCTTTGACCACCGTCACTAGACTATGGTCTTTATGATCTCCATCGCCCGCTGATTATAATTATACTGACTAACCAAATATAACAATAGTGAATCTTTCAAATCCCATAATGTAATGCATTTTCTATGATGTATATTTATTGCATCAAGCCAAGGCCTTCCCTCGAGGAAGGGCCTGATTTACAATGGTTCGGTTAAATAACCTACATCCATTTGAGTATTACACTAAAATATTTAGTGACTTTCCTTTTCATCCACAGAAAGGTGGACAAGCCAGTACACAAATCGCTTCTACCAATAGTGCGACTAAAAACCAAATCACTTTCACCTTGTTCTGTGAGATAGAGAACATAATCAATTTCACCTTCCTCTATTGCGGTGGAGAATCAAATCAATTTCACCTTTCTCGGTCTGGTAGAGTTTCCAGTGATCTTTAGCCTTGAAAACTTTCGTCAGCAAAGCTTCCCTCAAGATAAAAAAAGACCCAAGGAGGAATTAAGATAGAAGTTTGCTTGGAGAAACTGCGTGAAATCCCCTCTCACACTACTTGTCCCTCACACACAACATCTTCCTCACACACAACTTGTCCTCCTTTCCCTCACAAGCTCTATGTTCTCTTTTTTCAAGCTCTCTCAAGAATATAAGCCCTCACTAAAAACTCTTTTAGAATTCTTCAAACAACCAAAAGACCAAAAAACCATTCAAAACTAATTAAGAGTTGTTTAAATACAAGGATTCAATAAAAACTCTAATTTTTAATTTTTTTGTAACCGCTCATATAGTACGATTATGACCATCAAACAATACAATTAGTTTACTCCGTCGAAGATCGTATATTATGATTTATAATCGTACCATACGATCAGCTCTAATCAGATATCAGAATTATACTGGATGAACACATTTTGTCCAAAGAATCCTCGAGTTTTTCATAAACTATGATTTATTGATCATATTGGACGAGTCAAATATTATCCAAAGACTCCTCTATATAGTGCAATCAATGATTATATAGTATGATCAATTATTAAATCAAATATGACTAATTTGATTTGATCCCTTTATTAACAGACTTAATTAGGTAAATGATCAATTGATAGTACAGTAGAAGATATTTCATATACTATGAATATTTCAAATTTCAAAATTAAAAATTGACTATATTTGGTAACTTAGATTCGTTGGTGGGATTTATGATTATATCTGATCATCCAATATAACGTGTTGTTCATAGTAGATTAGTTATATTTCAAATTAATTTTTTATTTAAAATAAAGCATTTTAATTAATTTCTATTTCAATAGATCTTGTTGCATGATAAATGATTAAATAATATGATTTATAGAAAAATTAAAATATTTTTATTTTCACCCCCCTTATGTTTGTATATACTATTACTAAGCTACCATTCAACTTTTATAATACATTGACTCAAGAAAAGATTTAAATATAGACTCTTACAAAATATGAATCCTACAATACCAAGTTTTGAGCCCTGATCCTTTGGTGGTGCTTAATGTAAGTTGACCTAAAATTTTAGTACACAAAGAAAAGATATATCCAATATAAAAAGTAGGAGAAAAAAAAAACAATCAATAATATTTGTAATCATCAAAAAACAAGATCGGGCTCCCAAATTAAATGATCTCCCCCTTTTTGATGATGACAGATATTTTTTGGTTAGATTTGAAAATTAATATTTATCTACTAAGTTTTGTCTCTTACTAAGTGATATTTTTAAAACTATAGGGAGAGCCCATTAATTTTTATTTTTTTATTTTACACAAAAATGTTTTTAACACTATAATAGAGTACACAACAAACTGGAGAAGAAATAATAAACTATAATTATAGAGCAAGCTACTACAACCAACAAACAACTTATACTCCCTTTTGATAACACCATAAAGGGAGATATTATGATAGAAAACTATAAGAGCAAGACACTATAAGGCAAAAACAAAGCATATAACATAAAATAATTAAATACACAACTGAAAGTACAAGAAAGAAAAAA